ACTCAGTCTATATTACTCCGTTTTGATGCATCATATAAATGCTATATGGGTTGAATGCCTCGTTTTACTGATTTATGACTGAGTGAGGCCGAGGGCCAGATTTGTGAGGATATTTATGGGATCGGGCTGCACGCCGCAGCATGTTTTACTGATAATTATGACTGAGTGAGGTTGAGGGCCTGATTTGTGAGGATATATATGGGATCGGGTTGCACGTCATAGCATGTTTTACTGATTCATGACTGAGTGAGGCCGAGGGCCTGATTGATTTATGCCATGATTGGCTTGTTATAGCGCTTGGGCTGAAGGAGCCCCTCCGGAGTCTGCACACCCCCAGTGAGCGCAGGTACCTACTGAGTGCGAGTGCCGAGTGCCGAGTGCCGAGTGCCGAGTTCTGAGTGACTGGGAGGCATGAGTAATGGTGAGGTTTGCCCGAGGGGCTGTATATGAGTGATGGTGAGGTTTGCCCGACGGGCTGTATATGAGTGATGGTGAGGTTTGTCCGAGGGGCTGTATCTGAGTGATGGTGAGGTTTGCCCGAGGGGCTGTATACGAGTGATGTTTGCCCGAGGGGCTGTTTATGATTTCATCATTTTGCTCACTTTTGCAATGAACCTTTGTTCGAAAACTGTTGAAAGATGTTTTTAAATGATTTTACTGGAACTGGATTTAAACGAGCTAATTTGATTCAAACTATGGTTTTAAAAGCATGCCGTATTTTACTGAGTTTTTGTGATATGAACTTTACTTGCATTATTGCTCGTCACTACTTCTCAGTCTTTATTTAGTGTTGTTACTTACTGAGTTGGCGTACTCACGTTACTCCCTGCACCTTATGTGCAGATCCAGGCGTTTCTAGACATGATAGCGAGTGTTGATTGTTCAGTCGCAGATCCATCGGAGTTAGCAAGGTATCTGCCTCGCGATCGCAGCCCTGCTTTCCTCCCTCTTTATCTTCCCTTAGTTTTATTCAGTTATTTCCAGACTATGTTAGTCTTGATATTGTCAGACGGTTGTAGTAGATGCTCATGACTAGTGACATCCCGATGTCGGGCTTTCTTTTCCGCACTTTGTTTTGATTTGAACTCTTTTATGAAGGTTTTATATTAAATAGCTTTGGAACTATCTTTGAAATCAAAATATCGATTTGTTTTGGTAGTATGTCTGGTTGCCTAGTATCACGATAGGCGCCATCACGACAGGGTTAGTTTTGGGTCGTAGCACTATAATGATTAAATATAATGTTGTTAGACTTATTACTGGCTAATGGTTATAGGTTTAATAATAATTTTATACTGGATATATAAGTTATAGTTTTTAATTATATTACGTACTTGGTTGGCATACTTAAAAGGTTGTAGTCCAAATATTATTACTTGGTTAGATGGCAAGTCCAGCATTAATGTAGCAAAAGACCACGTTCCAAGGGGGCAAAACCATGATTATGGATTAGAAAATACAAATAGAAAGTGTACGGTCATTGGCTATTCTTTCTTCCAACTCTGCATTACCCAATAATTAACAAGATCTGCACAGCTTTTCTTCAACAATTTTCCTTCTTTACAGGTCTCTGCCAAGTTAGCACAAGTGAAAACCTGTTGGACTTTAAAGCATTGGGCTTCAAAGACTTTAAGTATTGGGCTTTAAAGTCTAAGAGTGTGAATTGGAAATGGTGGGAAATAAAATGGAGGAAAATGAAAATTTGAATGAAGTGAGCTTTTATCTTGAACTTTGTCCCTCATTGGTGAGGGACAACTACATTTGTGTGTATATATATAGAATCACTTCTTAAAGCTCTTAAAAGGAGTTGAAGAGAATGAACCCTCGCGCCGTCGTCGTCGCTCGGCTCGGCCTCGGCTTTGGATTTGGATTTGTCCGGGCGTGACCGCGGTAGGACCCCGCCAGAATACTGCTGCAGATTCAGAAGGCCACTCTGGCCGCGACCCTGGCGTGACCGCGGCAGGACGCGCAAACTTCTGAACAGACACCTTTTCCAGAACAAACATCACACCTCTTCCAATAATTGCCTATAAATTCTGAGGCATGACTTCGTTATTAACACACTGAAAAATTACAAAACTTCCTTCTTTTTGGAAATACTGCATTCTAATTCGCAGCTCTCTCTCTCAAATTCGTAAGTGTGATTTTGCTCCGTTCTTTGAGTTCGTTGGTATCCTACAGTTTGTATTGTAACTGTTGCAGGAAGGTTTATTCCGTTTCATCCTGGGAGGATTTAATCCATTACCTTGGCAACGTGTGAGGGGGTTAAAATTCCTTAAGGACGCACAAGCAAATTGTGGACTCGGAATATTTTTTATTCTTTACTGTTTTCCAGTTTCTTTTATTCTTCTAACAGTTTTCTGATTTTGTGTTTTAACACAGTAACGGATTACAAACCCCACTACTCCCTAAAATACCACTTAAAACATAGTGATGGAGCAACATTGGCCAAAGGGCTCTCTATTGAATCTTCTTTTGTCAGAAAATTAAATTGTGCATATAGTGGCTTTTGAATCAGATTAATACAAGAGAAGTCTCTAGTGTGGTAGCAAAGCCAGTTCAAAAATTATTGTAGTTCATGAGTCACTACTAAAAAATAGTACTCCCTCTGTTCCAATTTGTGTGTATTTGTTTGATTGGGCACGGAGTTTAAAAGAAATGAAGACTTTTAGAATTTGTGGTCCTAAACAAGTTAAAATAGGACCCAGAGTATTTGTGTGGTTATAAAAGCTTTCATTAAGGGTAAAATTAGAAGTTCAAGCTAAATTGCTTTCACATTTAGAAAGAGGTCATTCTTTTTTAAAACGGACCAAAAAAGAAATAGGTTCACGTAAACTGGAACGGAGGGAGTAACTCTTTTCCGATCAAAAACTCGATTGAACGCAGTCGGTTTTGGACGATTACCAACTAAAAACCAATCGAATTGGATGCTTTGAAAAATTACTGGTCGGTAGCAAAAATTGACCGATTTCGATCATTCAATTGAATTTCAAACTCGATAATCGTTTTTTTTATACATTTAAATATTGCACTATCAAGGAATGGAATCATGGTCTGTACCGTGGTAGGATACTATTCTACCACTAGACTATTGGAGCTTGTTTATACTCTTTAATTGTATTTTTGCACTGAAATTATTTTTCTGAATATTAAATTTAGTTAATTAAAAATGGAAAACCATCTAAAGCTAATCGGTTTCTTGAAAAATAAACTTCCCGTTACGCATTACATCCGAAAAAATAACTTCCCGCATTTGGCGCTGAAAAACAAAAACCCGCCCGAAGTGGAAAAAAATAGGGAAAAATTATTTTCAAAACATCGGTCGATTTTTGCAATAGATTTTTTCAGTGGAAAATGCGTTTTCTTAGTAGTGAGTATGACTCCCAACTGTGAAATTTTAGTATTCTTTTGAATTCTCTTGTAGATTCTTTAAAAATATCATCACGTGCGTATCAGATCCTCTAAAAGTAATGTATTTTTGGAGAATCAACAATATTTTTGAAAAGTCCGTACAACATACCTAGCCTATAAGAGTCTTAATTTATTTCTGTGTGTGTAGTTGGACCCATGAGGACCTGGTTTCTCGGGTGGCTTCATTATGAATTTTGATGATGAACTGAAAGCAATATGTTTAATTTGCATTACTTTGGTATCTTTAATGCCCCTGAGAGATACAACATCAATTGGACCAGTCACTAATACATGCACATATAGTGAACCTACCAAATTCATCATTCTCTTTTTATGTTCACATACTATTGCTTCACATCATTGTCACTCTTCAATATGGCTCTGATATATGGATTTTGCTGTTTTTAATTCTGCAAAAATCATTGCTATTATGTACAAGTTATACTCATTTTAGAGAATATTTGCTAGGGTCCCCTTGCAGCCAACTCTTTGGACTTTTTGCCTACAATTATAACTTGTAAACAATCTACGAAAAAAAAACCGACACTGATTTTGTGGTCTACCTTAATTTCTGTAAGCTTTATGTGGTGCATATATTAGCAGAAGTAACAAACAACCTATATTTGAATTTGCATCATGTAATCGGAGGCGGACCCAGGATTTGAAGGTCGGGTACACTTTTGGATTCAGCCAAAATCTGCTTTGTATATAAGGTGAACACTACTAATATATCACTATTTTCTAAAGACATCTACATGTATACATGAAATTATTGCCGAACTCTACGGATGACCCTAACCCCTTTCGGTATAGCATTGGTCTGCCTCTAAAGAGAAAAATATTTATATCAGGATTTTCTTCATTTTCTAGCCTCGAACTCGAACACCTGATTATTCTTTTACAGGTGTTGAGAACATATTTTAGAGACTTAAATGTGTAAATTTAAAAGAGTCAAGGAAAAGATATTAAGAGCCCGTTTGGACATAAAAAAAAATTTCCTTTTTTTCAAAATTTTTTAACTTTTTTTCGAAATCAGCGTTTGTTTATAAAATTTTCAATTTTCACTTAAAGATGCATTTCGGAAATTTTCGAAAATTTGAAAAACTCCAAAAAGCTGTTTTTTGAAATTTTCACTCAAATCACTCACAAAACTTCAAAAACAACCCAAATTGAAATTTATGTCCAAACACAACTCTAAATTTCAAATACCATTTTCACTTGAATTTTCTTTTTACCATTTTTGGAATTTTACAATTCTTATGTCCAAACGCCTACTAAAAAAGATAAAAATTGCAAATGTGGAAATACATGTATGTACAACCAAGATACCCTGGCAAGATACAATATTTCGTGGGCCTGCAAGCTAGATAGAGATGTACTTTTATTTAATTTAATTTGACCTTAATTTTCTTAATAATATTAAATATTAATTTGTGACAAGTTTCCCCAGGAATCTAGCTTTTTTGCTTCCTCTATTTCAGTGGCCATAACGCACGAAAAAATAAATAAAGGAAAAATAAAAAATAAATAAAGGGGTAGCGAAAGTGGGGCTTTTATGGGTCAGCTTTTTTCACTGAAAACCAGGGAACAGAATTCTTGATTTTTTTTTTTTTTCTCTCCTTTTACTCAGTTATAGTGGCAGAGCTTTTTAACTAATTTTGCAGACATATAACAAGTGTAAAGTCCATGCCTTTGGCATTTTCTGTCAACTTATACATTTGGATAACAGAAATGGTACCTAACTCTGCTATTTTCCTTGTGACTTCTCCCTCAGGCTTAAAAGCTGGAATTTTTAGTCCTAAATGTTAGCTTAGAATTGTGGGGTTCTTTTGTTTTTCAGCTGAAGAAATCTTGAGCTCACTCTTTGTAAGTTTCTGTTCTCTTGAATTTTGAAGTTATAGTAAAATTTCTGCATTGTTACCTGTTTAGTGTTAGCTTTTTAAGAATGTCATTTCAGATTCTTGATACAAGATGATACGACCATTCTGTTTTTTTTTCTTTTTTTTTTTTTTAATTTCCAGTATTTAGCTGGACCACAAGAAGTTCTTGTCTCTTTCACTTTATCATGTTTTTATGTTCTTCTACCTCTTGAAATAAACATGCAATTTGGGATCCTATCTTCTCCCTCTTCTATTATCTCTACAATTAGTTGCTTGTTGTGCAATTTCCTCCCCCCCCCCCCCCCCCCCTAAATTCCCAGTTGAGAAGCAACTTTTGATATGATAATAAAGGAGTGGTTTATGTTTCAAACATAAAAACCAAATGTCCTGATGATGTTTTCTTTTTCTGTAACTTTTTGTTAAGGGAGAGAACATAAATTGATTAATGGAAGAAAAGGGTGTCTCAAGTTTTTGTCTCAAGGATGAAAAGACTGAGTTATTACTTAAACTTGAGAATGCACAGAAAAAAGTTGAAGAATTGAAGAGCTTAAGAAGGGAAGATGCAAAAGCTAATGAGAAAGTTGTTGGTATATATGCTGCACAAGAACAGTGTTGGTTTAATGAGAGGAAGAAACTTAGGCAGCAAATTGGTGCTTTTATGAATGAATTGAGAGTTCTTGAAAAGCAAAAGGATATAATTATTGCTGATCTGAATAACAAGTTGGAGGAGAGCAATGTATTGTTGCAGTCAAAAGATAAAATCATAGAGGAAGAAGGGAAAAGGCATTATGATTTTGAAGAAAAGGTGAAAAAGGCTGAAGCTTTAGCAGAAGAATTGAGGAACACGGCTAAGTTTGATGCTCAGAGGCACACTAATGAGATCTCTAAACACAAGACTGCATTCATTGAACTGGTGTCTAATCAACGGCAGCTTGAGGCAGAGATGGGGCGCGCTCTCAGACAAGCTGAAGCAGCGAAGCAAGAGGTTAATTCTGCGCTGGAGCAAAAGGAGAAGTCGATCTTGATGACTCAAAAACTATCGATGGAGCTAGTTAAAATGCGCAAGGACTTGGACCAGAAAGATCAAATTTTGTCAGCTATGCTTAGGAAATCCAAACTGGATACAGCAGAAAAACAAATGCTTTTAAAAGAGATCAAATTATCAAAAGCCAAGAGAAAGCAGGCTGAGCTAGAGATGGAGAGATGGAAATCTGCTTCAGAGTCTAGATATGAGAGACATTCATTAAAAAGTATGCTGTATAAACGTATGAATCCAAAGTTGGAGACTGGAAAAAGCAGATCACAAAAGACGGATTATCTTATCGATGAGCAGCCTGAGTGTACAAAAGAGCCAGAACTATTTTCTCATATTTCTGATAGATTCTTTACTGAGGAGACTCAAGAAAGTAAGACTACATTACATGTTTCCTTCAGAATTTTAATATATGGAGTTTTCATTCTTTTTGTTTTATGTTGTTTTATGTATTCATTTCAATCTTTGTATGCAGTACTCACAAATGATGTTGAGGACTTAGAGAATTGGGTTCGATCAGAGGCTGAAAAATACAGTATTGCAGTTGACCAAAGGCATCATATGGAGCTTGACGCTTTTGCTGAACAATTGAGACTCAAAGATGAGAAGTTAGAAGCTTTCCGTTGGCGCCTGCTCAGTATGGAACTGGAATCAAAGAGGTTACAGTCGCATATTGAAGTGCTGGATCATGATCTAGTTCAGCTCCGGCAAGAAAATATGAAGTTAGATGGATTGCTATTGGACCGAGAAGTAGAATTGCAATCCCTCAGGCAGCAACTAGCTGAGTATTTTCTTGATTCCCAAAAGTCCAATGCAAATGCTTGTCCAAAAGACCAGGACTTAGCCAATCATACAGTTTGGTCCAATGTAGCAGTTATAAAGACAAAACATGGAGAGAAAGAGCAAGAAACAAAGAATTATCCTGAGGAAATATCTCAAAAGGTAAAGAATGGAAGAAAAGTTGACACCAGAACAAATAACCCCCAAAAAGACATAATTTTGACTCTACAGAATGGAGCCTCAAATACGAATGCTAATTCTAGTGCAGAACACTTCAGTGTAGAGGATGCTCAGAATGGTGTAACATCAACTTCAGAAGGTGATAGTGAAATTAAGAAAAAGAAATCTCTTTGGAAAATGGATTTACATGCTCTTGGAGTTTCATACAAAATCAAGAGGCTGAATCAGCAATTTATCATGCTCGAGAGGTTGACAGGAAAGCAAGAACGTCCTGGAAATAGTGAAAACAATGATAATGAACGATCTGGTACGAGAGGATTTTATGCATTGATGTCCTTATTGAATAAACAAGTTGCTCGTTACGAGTCCCTTCAGACGAAAATTGATGATCTATGCAAGCGGATGGTACGTCCTAACTAAGTAGGAGAACATCTTTTTAGCTTAATTTGTCAAATTATCTATGTTACATTTCTTTTTTTGTGTGTGCGTGATGTGCAGCATGATAATGACCTGAATGTAAATTGCGGAAGTTCAGTTACACGAAAAACGAAGGAAGAAACTAAGATGCTAGAGCAATTTCTTGAAGAAACATTTCAGCTGCAAAGATACATAGTAGCAACAGGACAGAAACTGATGGAAGTCCAAACAAGAATTGCTTCTGGATTTGTTGGAGCTGCAGAAGAGCTTGATACACCTGCAAGTTTTGATGTGAAGCGGTTTGCGGATGGTATTAGAACACATTTTAGGGAAGTACAGAGAGGACTTGAAGTTCGTATATCACGAATTATTGGTGATCTTGAAGGAACTTTAGCCTGTGATGGCATCAACCATTTCAAGAGATAGTGCTGCGATCGAACCTTCCAATCATGCATTGAGGCAGAATCTAAGTTTACATGGTGCAGCAACAGCAGCAAATCATTGATCCAGTCCCATATATACATGTAAATATCCAGCAACTATAAATTCCAATAATTCGCGTACATAGAGAATTGCTGCATCATCTGTAGGACTATCAGTGTATCACCTATTTGGCCATTGTTACATTTGCTTTCCATAGTTTTTTAAATGAATGAATGCCGATAGTGATATTACTTGTGCATGAACTTCTTGGCTTTACTTTTGTATATCTATGAGGAAAAGCAGTGTACAGAGTAAAATTGCAGCACAAAAACTAACTATTCCTATACATTTTAAGTTCATGTAATGTGTATAGGTGAAGCATTTAAACCTTGATCAAATTCGAGTCACTTTTTAACTTATTTCTCGACTAGAGGATGTATCAAACCTTGATCCTGCAACATTACTGACTCCAGGGGCCGATGTAGAATAACAGGAACGGGTTCAATTGGATCCATATAAATTTGTATGTAAAAATCTATTAAAATGCAAAAAATAGTATATAAGAACACATAAAACTTAGAGGTTGAACCCATAAAATTTACATCCTGGATTCGCCTCTCGCTAACTCTGGTCAATATTCATTTCTCCGTTGCCATTTTTACGTATTCACACAAATCCAATGGTCTTGTACAGAAGCAGAGGAAGAGAACTACTACATGAATGATACATTTAACACTTAAAAGTATTAGTCGTCTTATATCCTATCATTTCAAATAAGAAAAGGTGCTTGAATAAGTCAAAAGAAATGGGGAATCTTATTAGCTCAGATCGACTCTAGTTTTTTATTTAATATAGCCGTCAAATTGGTTTGATTTTGTTGTCTTCCATATCCTAAAAATAGCAAATTTAATATTAGGTGTAACTACACGTGAATTTAATTAGCACTACTGTTAGTCTTAACTTGTTTCCTTATTCAGCCGAACAATTAGATTCACATGACTCTCATTAGACGTAGCAAATGACCAAGAAGTGAGCATCAGAAACCAATAGATATGGATAAGAACCATATTATCCATTTGGAAAATGGATAACTAATGGATTTAACTTTTACATTTATAAATCCTTAGATTCCTCAAGTTTGGCAGACTAAGAATCCTCCCAAAAGTGATCATATTCAAGAAGTCATGGATAATATGGATATCCATATTATCCGCCGGTTAACCCGTTTTTTTATCCGTATTAAATATGGGTTGGATTGGATAATTTATCCGTTTTTACATTACCCATTTTCGACTCGCCCATATCTGACCCGACCAAGGGCGGCTCAAATATATGTGTGGCCTAAAGCCAAAATTAAATGTGAGGCCTAACTTTTTTAAAAAAAATTGTTAATAATTTATTTATAATCGATTTCCTCTAATAATTCCTTTTCAATTGATAATATGGCCAAAGAATTTAATCTATCTTGAGACATTGTTAATCTTAAGTAAGATTTTATCAATTATAATCTTGAAAACTTCTTTTCTTTGATGCAACTGTTATAGAAAAACTCTATTTTTGTACAAAAAGTGTTAAATATTATTTTAAATAACTATAAATCTATTATTTCTAAAAAAAAATAGGGCCCCAAAATTTGGGGGCTAAGGAGAAAGCCTTACTTGGATCAACATTAGAGTCGGCCTTGGACCCGACCCGCTCGTTCATCTAGGAGAAATTCAAAAATAGCCAGATTTACAACTGGTCGTTCAAAAATAGTCCAATTTCAAAAGTAATCGAAATTTAGCCACTTTTTATATAAAGATAAATCTGAGCGAAAACACTCTTCAAACCCGAAAAATACTCCAGTATATTTTGCTGGAGTTCCAGCATAAGTATACTTGAACTCCAGCATATTATACTAGAGTTCCAGAATAAGTATGTTGGAACTCCAGCATAATATGATGGAGTTCCAGCATAAGTACACTAGAACTCCAGCATAATATACTGGAGTTCCAGCAAGTATACTGGTCCAGTATAATATACTGGAGTTTGGAGCACCGGTGCTCCAGTCTCAAGTATATTATACTGGAGCCAGCAAAGTATATCGGTCCAGCATAATATGCTGGAGTTCATACACAAGTGCACCGAACTCCAGTATATTATGCTGGACCGGTCTCTATTACAGCAAAATAGTGGCTATTTTTTATTGACTTGGTAAACGCTGGCTATTTTTGATTGACCAGTCCGAAAACTGGCTATACTGTGCTATTTTTACCTACATCTAGGTATCTGTTGTGACCAGTCTTTTCTTCTTCGGGTCGAGTAGAATAAATGCAGAGGGACCAAATTAAGCATTGCGTTTTTCATTTGTAAGTTATAATAATAACAGCTTGTTTGGATGAGAAATAAATAAATGGTAGAGCGATTTCATTGTGGCAACTGAGATGTGACCAAACAATAGTAATGTGAGTCAGGGTAGATGGCTAAAGTAATAAGGCTGGGAACAGATTTCTGGTCTTTTCATGTGCAATGGGTGTCCTGAATGGCTTGGGGCATCTTCTCGTGTCTCCTCTTTTTGAAACATCTTTTATTAGGTGTGAATTTTGATAGCTGTGATTCATTTATCAAATCTTATAGAGAAAACAAAAATGTCGAGATATGCTTCTTGTGCATAATAAACCTAAGAAAGATTTGCAATTAAAAAGCATAGAAATGGAGTTAATTATATTAGCTCTCTAACAACTACTAAATCCATAAAGACGACGACCAAATAAAAAAATAGCAGTTGATTTAATATTTTGTCTAAATAGCTACCAGAACAGGTAATAAATATGCATACGAAAATGTGATGATAGGCTATAATTGTGTATTTTAGTCGCTTATTTTACACTCTAATGTACTGCACTTTAATTGAGTTTGAGCTTTAATCGCTAGTGTTTTGCACTAATGGTGTATTTTATGCCTTGTAGGAGTGATTACGAGCTATGTAATGGAATGAACTCAAGTGCTTTGGAGCTTTGAAGTCTGAGTAAAAGCCCAAGGAATCAAGCCGAGATCGTGTACGGGGATCAACGGATGATAGTTAAGAACAAAACGAAGAATCGAGCGGGCATACGGCGTATTGTCTAGTAAAATGCACATAACTTTTCGCTCAGAACTCCGTTTGGGCTACAGAATATATCGTTAGAAAGCTTTTTGAAAGGGCTACAACTTTCGTGTGTTGCATTTTTCGGAATTTCCACTACCAAGGCGCGTGGAGCGGCGCGGGGCGCGGGGCGCCTGTGGAAATTGCAGAAAATAACTAGAATGCGCCCATTATTTATAGGCAAGACAACACACAAAATGTAGTATTTAACCGCGCTATACATATTGACTTTTTCTGAAACGAAATAGCTTTTTCGCAGTCGGTCAGCTTTTCAGACCGACAAGACAACACACAGAACATAGTATTTAACCGCGCTATACATATTGATTTTTCTTAAGCAAAACAGCTTTTTCGCAGCCAATTAGCTTTTAAGACCAACAAGACAACACATAAAACGTAGTATTTAACCGCGCTATACATATTGATTTTTCTGAAACAAAAACAGCTTTTTCGCAGTCTGTCAGATTTTCAGATCGACAAAACAACACACAAAACGTAGTATTTAACCGCGCTATACATATTGATTTTTCTGAAACAAAAAACAACTTTGTCTTGATTTATCCTTTTATTATCTTTTATTTTCATGTATGTTGCTTTAGTTATGGTTGTTGTGCTTTTTTCTCTTCAAGTATTATGTTATGAAATTTCAATCTTCATATTGGTCTTCTTTACTAACACCAATAAGTTGAATGTTGGAACTATCATATCATCATCCCAATTCAAAAGGTCATGTTAGATAAGAAGGTGTAACAAGACTGTGAAACATAATTTTATTTGATAGAAATTGCAACATAAACAAGTAGAGACACTTATTACAAAAAATATTACGAAAATAAAACACTAGGTGTATCCTCGATAGTTGGGTACACTAGATGAACTTGGACCAAGAGCTGGATTACCACCACCACCCAGACCAGCTGAAGGACATTTACGACGGTCGTGTCCTGTTTGCGAGCATATGCCACATTTACGCGCATAAACGATATCACCAACATCTATTTGGTTCCGTATACTCGTTCTCTTTTGCACTTTCAGCTTGCGCAAATAGTCCTTGTTACACAATATTTTAAATGGTTCCGGCGGCCAATAATGCTCAATATCTAATGGCTGCAACTGCCCACTATATGTGTTTACGTATGCAGCAACACTGTATTGCCTATCCACATAGTTGGTTGCCCCGAAACCAACTTGTAGAAAGCACTTCATGGCATATGCGCACGACATGTGGTAGATGGTCCATGTCCCACATGAACACAACCTGCTGGCTCACAGTTTGTAGATTATTCCCCTAGTGTCCGCGGATAGCAGTGCGAACTTCAAAAACACCCCGGTCGTGATCATACTGTAAATATGAATGTCAATATGCTCTCCTCCTATATTTATCAAATCTTCTCATAGGTATTGGCATAAATTGAACACCCCTGTCCATTAATTCCAATGCAGCTCTATGCCTTTTAACAAACCTCTCCGCAATCTGTTTGAATGTCATCCGGACCATGGCAGTGACAGGCAATCCACGTGCAGACTTCAATAAGCCGTTGAATGACTCCGACACATTTGTAGTCAAGGCTCCCCATCGTCTGCCACCATCAGCATGCAATGTCCACTTGTGAAGCTCATGTCCCATCAGCCAAGTATAGGCTCTTTCGTCTAACTGCCGGATCGCTTCCATGCGCCTCGTGAATTTGCACTGCTGGTGCTCAGTTGCAGCCATCCACATTAAATCATGCAAGGCCTTGTCGGGATATTTCTTCTAGAAATTGGCCTTCAGGTGCCTCACACAGTAACGGTGGTATGCATAGGGTTCCTGCCATTCAGGCAAATACCGTACAGAACTTAAAATACCACCATGCCGATCAGATATTAGACAAATACTTGAACGTTGTTTGATAACGTGTTGCTACAAGTGGTTCAAAAAAAGCGTCCACGTCTCTTCGCTTTCATTGGCACAAATGGCAAAAGCTAGTGGAAATATTTGTCTGTTGGCATCTACTGCAACTGCGATCAAAAGCTTAATATCATACTTTCCATAGACATAAGTACCGTCTATGGAAATTACCGGACGTCAATGCACAAAACCATCAATTGCTAGTTTAAATGACCAGAACACATAGTTGAAAATATATTTTGGAATTCCCAGACTCCGCTCATGCCTCCATTCAACAACAGTCCCGGGGTTAAAGTATTTCAGTGCGGCCATGTACCTGGGTAGAGATGAAAATGACTTATCCCAGTCACTATAAATAATTTCAAATGCACGTTTGCACCCGAGATATGCCTTTCTTTTGGTTATAGTACGCCTATATTTCCTGGTGGACGGCTGTAATACACTCTTTGATCTTGAACCTAATGGACACTTCCAAGTATGGAATCAAGACAAGAGAAATCAAGTCTACATCCAAGTTGAAGTGATTATCATTGAATGTGTCCATTTCACATCTGTGGGTGCTAATATATTTACCCACTTTCCACAACCCTGATTTCTTCTTGCTCGCACGCAACATCCAGTTACAACCCATAAAGTATCTACGGCATACAACCTTGTATACCTCCGCAGTTGAATCCTTTACCATCATCTCACGGCACTCTTTTACGCTGTAGATTTTTACAGCCCTGATTAGGCGAGCTTTATCGGGAAAATATATGCCCTTTGCCAGCACCGTTGGTCTAGACTCATCCCACATTGCTGACCGAACTTCGTCAAGATCCCTTGTGAGGGCATCCACATCCGGCATACTTGGCAAATTATCAAGGTAGGGAATATTCCGCTCATGAAACGGCACGTGGGACTCGTACACTCTTGGTCTAACGGGAGGTGGAGGAGCATGCTTCCTCGTCAGCTCAGGGTTCGACATTCACTTCCTCCGTCATCATCACCCTCGTCAAGGAAGGTTGTGTCATCTCCAGACTCATCGGCATTGTTGTCATAATCACTATTATCTTCCTGACTCTGCGCATCTGCCAAATCGCGAGTGAATCGTCGTCACGGGCAACTGGTGAGGTCAGGGCCATCAGTTGCTCGTTTTTAAACTAGGCACAAAAGAACAAAATGATAAGCCTACTCAAATTGAATAAATACTTTACATATAGCTATATCACTTCAACTTACAAAGTCGTACTGTGTTGAACATTCCATGATGGATATTTCTTGTTGGTGATGACTCCCGGATGGACCACCGTGATCCAACAACGTCAGAAACTACGCAATATTCCAACAAGGAGTGCGGTCATAACTTGTAAAATTCATATTCGGACGGTACGTTACCCCCTGTGGAGTGTTAATACAAATCCAATTCAACAAAAAAAAAAACATCGTTAAAGCATAGAAAAATTGAAGTTTACCAGTCGTCTTGTGGATATGTAAAGTAGGAGAGAAAAAATTTATTTCCTCGCTGCTCATTCGCCGGTGGTGATAAGTTTAAATCAAGGAAAACTCTTTCATCAGGAATCTGTCCGGCAAAAACTGCTCCAGAATAACCGCCCGATGACTGGGGTTATCCTACTATGCGCAACCTCATTATTTGGAACGTTTTCACCTTGACGTACATTTCCAACAATTTAAATCATAATAAATTTCCCTGTATTCCAACCGGAATCCGCAAAAAATCTCTAAGAGTTTCATCATCTTCGACCGTTAAACTCAGAATAAAAAGCAAACCCCTGCGGAGTCACAAAACGAATATCTACCGTTACTTTAAGATTCGCCGAACGTTTTCTTAACACTCATTTTATTTACGTAACAATGATACATCAGCCAATTTATATCGTACTCTAAATTGTTAAGCGGCCGTCAATTTAACATGACACTGTCTATTGTGGAGATAACTTAACCTCACAGAGTGTATTCTCCGCTCACCAACCTAACCACCCAATAATAATGAAACCCTATTTTGTCTCATTCAGATCATTAATAAAAAATGCTTGATAACAAGCAAGAAAAGTTTGAAACGGTATAAGTTAGAAATATTTTTGAAATGCGATTTTCATAAAATCTCAACGCCCTTGAAATGAAGGGGCAAGGCACTAAGCCGGGGGGGGGGGAGGGGGGGGGAGGGGGCTGAATTTTTTGATGTATAGCGTGGTATTACACCGCGTTATACCAATTTGAATTATTGTTATGTTAGTTAACCGCATGACACTTATTGGTGGGCCCACAAAAAGGTATTGCGCTGTATAATACCGCGCTATATATGTTTGAATTACTGTTATGTCAGTTAACCGCATGAGACTAATTGGTGGGCCCACAAATAAGTAAACGCGATATTATACAGCGCTATATATAATGCGGTATTATGCCGCGCTATACTTTAACGACAGAATCACCGTTAAAGTATAGCGCTGTATAATACCGCGTTATATATAGAAATTTAACTTTTTTTTAGCAGTAGAAATGTATTTTGAGTCCAAAAACCCAACATTTAGGTTTCGAACTCTGCTTTTGACATAATTTAGACCTAAGGAGGCTAAGAAGACCGGGGATTCGACCTAAGGAGGCAAGAACACACTAGGAGCAATGCGGAGAATTCTTCTACGAGTTTTTCACTTCCTTCTTCCTATTTCCATTATTGGTTATGAATTCCAATATTGTAATTATGCATACTATTATGAATAGCTAATTTGTTATCTAGGGTTTTGATGGAACCTATTGGAGGATGATTTTCCTGTTACGTTAATATAGATTTGTTGTAGTATTTTCTCTATTTGTTCAACTACGTTATTATTGTGGTTGGGTGAAGAGCTCTCAATCGACTGTGCCTATTTACTATGTATTACTCGGGAGAGAGTGCATATTTAGGTAGTTGTTGAACAACATCACTCCTAACGTATATGAGGGATCAATACGGATGGTTTAAAGGTGGGATTAGGGATAACGAAACCTTGGTGCGATCCGAGTGAGCGTACTTAATGCCAGCTAGCGTAATTCGGGAGAATATGTCTAGTAAATTGTGGTAGTTACTCGGGAGAGAATTACGACACTCAGAGCGCTCATGATCGGTAGAAAATACTTAGGCGAATTTATAGAAAACGTAGCGGAAAAGATTCCGACAATAGGTGAAATCATAACTCTAGACCTCCTTAATCTTGTCTCTAACCCTTAGTATCTTTAGTTGTTAATTTACTTCTTTAATTTGTTAGTTAATTAGTTAGACATAAAAATCTTAATATCTATAAGTTAGGAATTGTTCAAGCTTGTCTTCTTGGTGATAGTGAACAGTTGTAGCTAAGCCTTAGTTCTCTGTGGGATTCGACTCCGGACTTGTAAACCGGATTATATTTGCAACGACCGATTAGTCCTTTTTATAAGGCATATTTGGGCGTGATAAAAAATATAGTTGTATTCATTGATTAGTTTACATCAAATATGGATAAGTTTTAATCATTTAGAAAGTGATAAGTAATCAATTCCAATCTTGATTTGGTATATTGGCTTACAAAGACATCTAGATACAGAGTCTAACATGGGGACAACGAATGTAAAATTAAGATCGTTTTAATTGAAGGTAATTGTTGATGATTTTAGAATTTTTTATTAAAAATTTACAAAATAAAAGAAAATACACGGTCGGTGTAATATAACCTGCATTGTGACATGTTACTTGTTTTCTTGATCAAATTACTCATCCATCTAACCTGCATTAATATTGTTACACTGATAAAAACTACTCATCTGCAATATCATACATTAATTAGAAGCGCCTAGCCGGCATTCAAGTTGGCTTATGTTTTGAAATGCCATCTAGGTGTTTCTTTCACCGTTATACGAACCTTACCTCCATGACCTTTTAATTACTAATAGTATATTACTGCTTCCGTTCCAATTTATGTATCGCGTTTGATTTTGTATGGAGTTTAAAAAAAAGTCCTTTGAAATTTATGTTCTAAATTAAAATATTGATATTTGTGTGCCTATAAATCAATTGATTAAGAGCAAATAGGAATGTTAAAGATAAATTATTTTTAAATAAAAAAAATGACTTTTTTGGGACTGAATAAAAAAAATATGTCAGATAAAAATACTATTATTTCTTTGTCTCATGTCACCTTGTTTAACTAGCCGAACGGTTTATGTTTCTTTACCGACTTATCTACTAACTTGCATGACCGTTGAAAGTCGTTATCCTTTGTGTGCTTATGACTAATTCAACATATTAAAAAACCTTTGGGTCCCACATACTTTAAATAATCAAAATGGTCCCACCCACTTCTCATATTAGTGTTAAGCTAAATAAAGACTATACAATCACATATCCGTTATTCTACTCGTGAATAAGAAGCGCCAGAGGAGCGTTTTAATTAACACCTCCTCAAATTTCATGCTTGACCCATTTTTTCCCCCTACAAATATATGAATTGAGGTATGAATTTGTAGAATTTTACATGATGTAAAATGGCCTCTAATTCTACTCCAAAACTTTCTTTATCCAAACTCCCAAACAAACCAAGAAATAATAATATTCCTCTATCTACTCCACCAATTCATCCTTCAGTTTCAATCCCATTTCAATGGGAAGAAGCACCAGGCAAACCAATTAGATCTACAAGTGATCAGTCAAAGGTAGCAAGATGCCTAGACTTGCCACCTAGGCTGTTGAATGAAGGTAAAATTACGAATACGCCCTCGCCGACGACGGTACTGGACGGACCTTATATCGGTCCATCTTTTTCGTCGTTTCGAACAGCCTATGTGGGAGAAATGGAAGTGCAGAAGAAATTAGACTTGAGTAGTAATAAGGACATGAGATTATGTCAAATAGGTTCTTGTAGGTGGGAAAGCTTTAAGGAAAATAGAGGAGGCGTTGTCAAGGACAATTTTGACTTTTCAGGTTCTCTCAGTAATACTTCGAGTGCTTATGATTTTGATACACATGAAAAGAAAGTCCTTAGGTTTAGAAGGAAAGGGAGTTTCTTGAGTTTCTCTCGTACCAATTCCAACCTTTTGGTAAGTGTCTTTTAATCTCTTTTACTTCGGCCTAAAAGATAGATTACATGTTAATTAGGGATGCCAAATGACAGTTGGACTAATTTTGGGTAGGTTAAAATGAGCCAAGTTAATAAATGTGCCGGTCAATATTACCTGGGCTGAGATAGACAAGGTCAAGATGAATTGAAATTTGGGTCATAGCTCAACTCGTCCAACTCGTATCAAGTTTAATTAATATGGATTATTTTCTTAAGATAATTGTTTAATTACTAAATAAGACTTTTATTATTTTGTTATGGTCATATAACCAGTGGCGAAGCCAGAAATATTTTCAAGGGTGTTCAAACTTAAGAAGTAGAAAAAAAATTCCGACAAAGGGTGTTCAATATAGATTTTATATATCTAAAATCAATATTTTACTTATATACGCAGTGCAAATCAAATAATAAAGAATTATTTTTTAGATATTTTTTGTAAAATTACTCGTGGATTAATTTGACCTAAAAATCAGCCAAACTTCAGATGCTATAGACTGACACTGAATTTGTTTTATTTAAGTGTCAAATACTCTATTTGAAATTAATATATTATTACATTTTAATTGAAAATTAATTACAGGGAGGAATATACGAGAACTTTAAGCAGGCGATCCCATGGAGATGGAGACGGGCAAAAACGCAGAGAGCTCTCTGATTAATGTTCACGTACAAGGCAGCTTTACTTCCACGTGTAGACTCTTAACATGGATAATTAGTGACTAAGTATGTAATGACTTTGATTATGTACTGGGCTCGTATATGGAATTATGAATCTGTATTTTGGTGCAACGTATTTACAACTTATGTATATTGTATATAGGTGCTAGCTATACGCAACGTTTAAGTGGGAACTTATTTATTTACTGACGCAAGCAATGAAATTACCATACATGCACCGTATAAACTTTTTCATTTTTGCTTTAATTTTCTTCTTCTTATCACCTATAGTTTGTTGTTACTCCTCTCTTCCGCTCCTATTTATGTCTCACATTTTAATATTTAGACTGTTCCAAAAAGAATAGTATTTCTTCATTAGGAAATAAAACTTTAAATTTCTCATTTAATCTTTAGTGAAGAAATCAGAAGCGAAACCAGGATATGAAGTTTATGGTTTTGGCATTCTAATCCTTTTAAGTTGTTGCGTTCTATATAATTAATTTGTATTTAATCCAATGGACATTTAAAATAGATAAAAGATTTGAACCAAAATTACTAAGTTCAGCCAAACCTACAAACGATAGTGTAGCTTCGCCACTGAATGAAATACATGTTAATAGCTTATTTAAAGACTACAAATTTCAAAAAGTCCTTTCTCTTGAATAATGTGTAAAGTCAAACATATTCACATAAAATGGGAAGAAAGAAGCACTAATTTACTTTATTATGTTCTAAATTTTGTCAAATATATATGATGACGCGAAACAAAGACGTAAATCATGTCCCAAAAACAAAACTAATCTGAGATTAAAGTAATTTTATCTTTTAAGGTAATATTTTATTTCGACTCTTCAGGCTTGATGGACACTTCAATAGGAAATGAGACTTGGCTAGCAGAACTCTCTTTTAATTAGGAGTTTCGTACAAGAGAGATGAATACATGTAAAGAGAAATCAAATACCACATAACTAGAATTTAACATTAACATTAGTAGTACTACTTTGTGGTTAATTAGGGCCTGATCTGAAATTAGGCTCTCTTAATAGCTCCTATAGGCATTAGAAAGAGAATAAATCATTCCAACGTAGTAACTTAAACCGGTAGAAAACCTAAAACACTAATCTAAGGGGAATAAAAGAAGAAATTAAAAGCTAAAAGCAGCCATAGCTGCCCTTCTTTTCTTGTAATTAGCCTTAAAGCAGGTTTGTCTCAGCTTCTTTGTTCTTTCAGTTAATTCCATTTCAGGTACTTTCTCTAGCATTCTTTGGTGCTCTTCTAGCATCTCTACTTCACTTGTCAGTCCCATTTCCTGCATTAAATATTATACCAAACAACCAATAATTAACTTAATAAACCACAAATTAAAACTTGATTAGTACAAAAACTTTATCCTTAACACGTACCTTAACGCTATCAATGAGAGTCTGCAAACTCTTAATCTTACGATGAGGCCATCGCATGATATTAAGTTCCCTACATCTTTTCTTCAACACTGTTAATCCAACTCTCAATTCCTTGGCTGCTTTGTTTATTGGTACATGAAAATACCTTTGAATCTCATACAATTCTAATGTATCACTCTTCTTATGCCTTCCATTATTATTTCGCTTCCTAATTAACTCCTTATTATTAGTTCCACTACTAAATTCTATTTCTCCAACGGTATAGTCGTAGTAGTTCTTATCCTGCATATGAACTGCATTTCGAGCACTTGTCACATTTTGACATTCGTCTAAAGGACTAAATGTCAAGTTCAACGGAATGTCTTCTTGAAATGGAGGTAGTTTAACGTCTAACGTGCCCAAATCTTGACATATTTCTTCCAACTCTTTAAGCTCAAAAAATGGTAAATCATTGTTTGGAAGATCGTTGAGAAATTGAAAGGGATCAAAGTTGAATAAACCTCCATTGGACAATATTCTTGAATCTTGTTGTTGCCATGTTCTATTCAAAACAAGAAAGAATTACATAAATGTTAGTACACAATATATATATATATATATATATATATATATATATATATATATATATATATATATATATATATATATATTAAAGACCTATATTCAGTTCTTATTTTTTGCTCAACACAAATTTGCATGCACATTTGATGCTTTAACATTGTTCACACCAATATAACACTAACTTGTTTATGTTACTTACCTGAAAGGAGAAGGAGGGTGTTCTGGATATAACCAATCAAATTGATCATTTTGGTTTTCCAGCGTTAGAACATGAGAAGCCATAATTGGAATTTTTTTCAGGAGAGATGGCGGCTGAAGAGAGAGTTAAGAAATTGAAAAGGTCAGTGGGGGTATATAAATTGGAATTAGAGGGAGAATAAATGAGTGATAAATAAATTGGAGTTCGTGCGAGTGGATTATGGGAGTTACAATGTATAGAAATTATGGGTTCTAATTAATGACCACGGGTTTTACATATGAATTAGTGTAGAAAAGAAATGCGCTATTTATTGTACGTTGATACGATTAATTGTGGGACACGAATGTCTTCATCCTAAAATACATCTACATACACCACATACATATACTTATTGTGTGCTCTCTATGTGTGTTTACACTAGCAATCCATGCATGCATTGGTTATGTAAATGAGATTCACACTTCTATTGGACTCGGGAAAAAAAAATACCACAACGTCAAAAAAAGAAGTTAAATCTGTATACAACGTCCATGCGAGAAAAATAATAATAATAAAGTACACTATCTGGTCACCAAAAAGATATCTACCAAGTTTCCTTAAAATATGAAATTCGTAATTTTAAAATAAGATAAATTACTTGTCACAACAGTTGAAGATGATGTGAGTGTAAACAAATTTCTTACACTAATAATGTAAATAAATATCGTCTGTACTGAATCTAACTTGTTAGCTTAGAAAATAAAATAAGATAAAATAAATAAATTGTTTTAATTGGTAAAAATAAAATGATAGTGTAAATAAAATATTAAGTTACGAGTCTATACAAATTATCCTTACTTCTATTATGGTGATTCTAAAAATTAGACTGCCGAAGATTCTTCTTAATTTGAATGGATCGTAATGAACTTATCCTAATTGGTAATTGATGTATGAATAAGAGTGCATGGTCAAAAGTATTGGGATTTACGTAGATGGAAGTTACAAAAACAATTAATGGACTCAAGTGTGAGGAGACTATAATTAGGAATAATGAACACAATGAATGGACTCAAATGCGTTCACAAAAACATTTAAGTTCCTCCGTACAGCTTGATTTTAGGGTTTTGTCATGGGTTTTTCTCTAATCCAATGAATCCTTTGAGTTATCCCTTGGTCACCGATAAGCCCAAACTTTGGAGTTTAGGCCCAAACCCAGATTTTGTATGGTCTCTCTCTCTCTCTCTCGTTTTTCTTTGTTATTCTTTTCCCTTTTTTTCGGAGATTTGCATCTATACCCGTTTTTTGGGTCACGTTTTAACTTGTGCTCGCTTTGTAAAAAAAATTGCAAGCGTACCCATTTTTTCACGTAACTTCAGCATACGGGGCTGAAGTAGCAAAGGCAATCACGCAAAACTTCAGCATTCTAGTAGACGGGACTGAAGTTTTTTTGTCCTGGATAAGATGCTGAAGTTATTTAGTTCATTTGTAAAAATTTCAGCACTAAAATAGCTAGAAGTTTTTTTGTCCTGGATTCATTAATTTTGTCATAAAACTTTTTCAAAAACTTCAGCAAAAGATGCTGAAGTTATTTAGTTCATTTGTAAAAACTTCAGCACTAAAATAGCTGAAGTTTTTTTGTCCTGGATTCATTAGTTTTGTCATAAAACTTTTTCAAAAACTTCAACAGAAGATGCTGAAGTTATTTAGTTCATTTGTAAAATCTTCAGCACTAAAATAGCTGAAGTTTTGTCGTGGATTCATTAGTTTTGTCATAAAACTTTTTAAAAAATTTCAGCAAAAGATGATGAAGTTATTTAGTTCATTTGTAAAAACTCCCACTAAAATAGCTGAAGTTTTTTTGTCCTGGATTCAGTAGTTTTGTCATAAAACTTTTTCAAAAACTTCAGCAGAAGATGCTGAAGTTATTTAGTTCATTTGTAAAAACTTCAGCACTAAATAAGCTGAAGTTTTTT